GTATTTGCCTTCTTGTATTGCCGCTGTGTGCCTGGCGCCTGTGGAGGTCAGCTGGATCCCTGGTGCTGGAGTTACTGGAGGTACAGACAGTTGCGAGCCCTAGGTGTTGGAAATCAAAACCACCTTCCCTGCCAGAGCAGCCAGTGCTCTCAACCACCGAGCCATTTCTCCAATCCCTATAATTGAATGATTGAAACAAAACCAAAGTCATTTAAAAAGTGTACTTTCAGAATCATCGTTTCTGTGGAAGTTAGGATGCAGACCTGGTATCCGTGGACATTTTTCATTAGCTCTCCTTAAGTGTGTCCCTGTTAGATAGGAAGGGTGGCACCAAGCAAGAGCAAACATTTTCCCCCCCTTTTAAACTATGAGCGTTTTCTTTCGCTGCAGAATCTTGTGACATTTTTGCTCCATGTCTTAGTCATCGTAAGCTACACTTGGCCGGGTACTGTTGGTGTTGCCCAGACGGTGTGTTTGCAGTTATTCCCAGCTCGTGGAGGTGTCTGGGAGATTTGTAGTTTCCCCTGCAGCTGTCCTGAGGTTGCTGAGATGCAATTGGGACCATGAGTCAGAAGTCTCCAGTCTTCCTTCACCTACAGAGTCAAATTGCAAGGAAAGTGGGGCACAGTCTTAGAATGGTTCCTTGATCGTGCGATACGGGGTGGCAGATGCCCCGGGACTTCAGCAGGGTGATAACTGGTCATCACTGTCCCTCTTCTCAACACTGATAAGCCCTGAGTACCCTGAATAGCAATATCAGGACAGGCCACTTTTCCCCTCCTCTTGCTGTTTTCGTGATCAGTTCTGCAACTGAGAAATTTCCACCCGCAAGTATACACTCACTTAGAGGAGCCGTTTTCTTCTGCCAATCCCTCAGCGTTGTGTTCTGGAAACACCTATACATGGCTTCTCCATTCAGACTTCAGGAAATTTGAGTCAAATACTTTGGTAATAACTCATCCTCTGAATCACTGGCCTTGACCCATCTGGGGAACACCATATATCTGGAAGCAGAGACAGAGAACTTGTCACCTTTGAAGAAAGAACATATTTTGTGGCTTCTGCAGCTTGGGGGGTTTCTTGAGCTAAGGCATAGTCTTAAAATTTTAAAAAAGAAAGAAAGAAAAAGAAAACCTAGTGATCTCTTTAGCCAACTGTCCCGAGATTCTGTGGCGAGTGTTCTGTAAAGCTGGAGTTCTCACAGGGAAACTAGCAGCCAGAAGTGACCCAGAAAAAATGATTTGAGATTTGTCTTCTTAGATCTGTGATTTGGATAGTGATTCATAAATGAAGTTCCTGGATCGACTGCTGATTTAAATGGTTTCTGGCAGGGCACTGTTAACCGATGCAGTCATCAGAAAGGATAAAGTTTCTTGAGCCTGATGACTTGAGTTTGATCTCTGGATCCCACGTGGTGAAAGGAGGGCAACTTACTCCTTTAACTTGTCCTCTTAGTGTGGTACACCCACACCCATACACTCCCCGACACTATTACATGCAATTAAATGTTTCACCAAAAGGGAGGGCATGGGGGGAAGGCTGGGGCTATAGCCTCATATTGACATTTGATTAACATATATAGGCCCTAGCGCCCGAAAGAAATGAATAAATAAATTGGAACTTACTGCAGGATCTGTAAACCTTTCTTCTTTCCTTCCCTCCCCTCCCTCTCTCCTTTCTTCCTTCTTCCGTCTTTCCTTCCTTCCTTTCTTTCTTCCTTCCTTTCTTCCCTTCTTCCTTCCCCTCAATTTCTCCTTTCTTCCTCCTTCCTTCCTTCCTTTCTTGCTTGCTTTATTTCCTTCTTTCTTTCTTTGTTCAAAGCCATTGAACTACTAGAGACTTGGGGATTTTTAAACATGAAATTAATCTCAGTATTTGCATCTCTGAGTTGATCCTCTTGCTTGAAAACCTCTGAAAAGTATATTACTAGGTGTGATACTAAGTGTTTGTTCCTGACCAACACACTGGTTTTATTTTGTTGTTTTGGGTTTCTTTTTTTGTTTTGTTTTTCGAGACAGTGTTTCTTTGTGTAGTCCTGGTTGTCTTGGAACTCACTAGACCAAGCTGGCCTAGAAGTCAGAGATCCCCATGCCTCTGTCGCCCGAGTGCTGGGATTAAAGATGTGCACCACCATGCCCTGCTAACTGTGTTTTAAGATAACCGTTTTTCTCTTTTAAGGGCATAGTTTGTGTGGACCATGCAAACTGGAGAGACATGAGATATTTATGGCAAAATATTTCTTCTTTGCTATACCATGATCTTTAGAGTTCCTTTTTCACCCGGTGCTATAGTTCTTTTGTTGCTTCTTTCTTTTAAAATATTTATATTTTTATTTATGCATATGTGGGTGGCTGCATGAGTTTATGTGAACCTCATTTGTACAGTTGAGGACAGAGGACATTGGATCTCCTGGGGTTGGAGTTACAGGTGTTGGTGGGGGTACCTGATGTGGGTGCTAGGAATGGAATCTAGGTCCTCTGCTAGGGTAGTATATGCTCTTAACTGCTAAGCTATCCTGCCAATTCCCTGCATTCTCATTCCTGTGTTTACTTAAACCTCTCAGCAGTCTCTCACAGTGTTCAATAATCGCACACTCTTCTGTGAAAACATAGGGCCAAGGTGGGATTCCACAACACTGTTCACTCTCCGCACTCTTAATACTTATAATTTAAGGTAACTAACAAGTTCATACTTTACTTGAAATAAAGAGCGGGGCATGGCTCATATAGTAGGTGTTCATAAAAAATGTGTTGAACGTAAGGATGCGTCTCATCCTGTGGATACCCACAAACCAAGTGTAAGTTGTATAAGATAATGAACATGGCCTGCCAGCCATAGAATCAGACCAACCGTGACCTCCAAGAATTGCTGCAGTGTTTTGGGGAGACCTTGCCACGAATGTGCGTGTGCTGTGTTGGTATAAAGGAGAGAGGAGACAACTCAGCCACGGTAATTCAGTGAAGTTACAACAGCTTTCCTATAACAGAAGCCACGATTGCATGATGCACAGAAGTGCAAACTTCCTCTTGTGCAGTGCCCAGACAGGCTGGCAGGGTTGATGTCCAAATCTCCGGCCAGCTAGGTGTTCAAGGTACTTACTGAGTGACTGCTGAGCAGTGAGTGTCTACCAGGAGTGGGAAGGCGAGGAGTGGAGCCTTGGGGAGACTGCTGGGAGCAGGGGGTCAGTTGAGAGTTGGAATGTTGCTGACACATGAGTCTTAGCTTCTCCAAGCTTCTGTGTCCTTCTCTATAAAATGGAAATAGTCGTACTAATGTACACCATCAGCCTATACCGAAAGTCATTGGAGGACAGTAAAATGTAGCATTTTCTGCATCCCACAATTGCCCTCTTCTTAATGCCTGGTAAGGATTTTTGCTATAAGCCCGTGATTCATTTAGCATTATCTTTTAGAGAGCCGGAGTTTAATTTTCAGCCACATCTAGCAAAATGAGACAGGTTTAGGCATCCGTTAACTGCTGAAGTTCCCTTCTGCATCCTCTTTCTGTGGTTCCTTTCCCTTGACTTGGAGATACAACACGATCTCATCTCTTCATCACCATATGCATCTATAGGAGCTGGAGACATATGAAAGACCAGAAAATTATCTACATAGTTGTACTTTAACTCGTTTAAAAAGCCTTTTATGATCGATTAGAAATTTATTTAATTATCATTAACCTTCTATCTCTAATAACATAGTGGTATGATGGGCTCTCTGGAGGAATGTAGGACATGCTGAAGGCTGGTTGTACAATCACACCCTCATTCACAGAGCACAGCAACCCCCAAGAGACACGTACTAGTGATCTGACTGCCACCTTCCCTCCATGCCCTCTCCTTCTCCATCCTTCTCCTCTTACAGTCATTTTTTTCAAAACTCCTTTGAACTAAGATACAAATGTGGGTATCAGTTGTTGTTGAGAACAAGTACAGCACCTCAGAGTGATGTAAAACATTAAAAAAAGGAAAGTGATTTAAAGTGCCCTTGCCACAGATTTAAAACCTTTTAAAATAGATCATTTTGTTTCAGTGGTCAGAATGAAATTATAGTTAGATGTGTCATCGGCCAGCTTTCCACTCCTCACCAGGAAATCAGGTGGGCTTCCATGAAACCCCCATTTGATGTGTAGATTGGCAAGAAGCCAAGGATAGACATCCATTTTTCCAGCTCATTCTTTCTGACCGCTAGAGGGAAGCAGTGATGCTCACGAATAGCAGCAAGCTTTTCTGAGAAAACAAAAAAAAATGTGTTTCTGATTTTCACATACTAATTTTTAAAAGGTGGCCTCCTTTCTTCATCCTTGACTCTACATGGTCAAACTTATGCGTAGAACTCTTTGAATCTATAAAGCATTTTACTGGCTTGGCCAAGAATTAATTTAAGAGGTAATCATGGTGACCTTTGTAAAGATGCTGATTAAACATGTTTTGATTGCGTATTTCTGTGTTAAATTACTCCAGAATATAGTAACCTTACCACCTCTGTCCCTGTTCCTTGTAATGTTGGCTCAGAGTTCAAGTGGACCAGATGGTCCACACTGGCCTGCTCAGGTGGCTGCCAGGTGAATCCGTTAGCTGGGGGTTCGTGATGGGCTGGTATTTAGTTCTCCTTCGATGTCTTCCTTATGAGACTGGTGGGTTCAACAAAGGATGAGCAGTCCAAGAATGAACATTACAAGTGAATGAGGTGGGAATTTCCAGTCCTGGGCATCATTTCCCCCGTCTTCCGGTTGTCACAGAAATGCTTCAGTCAGCCAGATTCAAAGGTCAAAAATAATTTGCACGTCCTCACCATGTCAGAAGCCAACTCTTGGCACAGGGAGGGAAGAAATTGTAGGCAGCTGTCTTTGATGACCCCATATGGAAGGCTGGGACATTTTGAAAGATGGCTACTAGCCATGGAGGATGGGGAGAACGTGTTCTCTAACAAACAGGCTTTGTTCTGAACTTAAAAGAATTAAGGTGCCCAACGCTCACTCCTCTGTCCTCCTCCTCTCAGGTCTGTCAGCTAAAGCAGTCAAAATGGCCACCAGAGGATCAGTGTCTGATGAAGAAATGATGGAGCTCAGAGAGGCTTTTGCCAAAGTCGGTGAGTGGACCCAACACCCTCCTTGCACCATTCTCTAGTGAGTCGCTCCATGAACTGGTTAAAGCAGGGGTTTACAACCTGTGGGTCCTAACCTGTTCGGGTCAAACTTTCCTTTCACAGGGGTCACCTAAGAATCATGTTATGGCTGGGGGTCATCACAACATGAGGAGCTGGATTAAAGGGTGACGGCATTAGGAAGGTTGAGAACCCAGGAGAGTTGATTTCTGAAAGCTGTGCTTGAAAACAACAACAAAAGAAACAAAAACAAAAAAGCTTCCTTCCTAGTTAAAACAGGGAACAACTCTTGTTCACCTGCAGCCTTTCCCTGCAGATGATTGCTTTGCATCATTATTTACTTCTCATGAGCTTTCATTTGGCCTCCTTATTTTAATATCTGTTCACTCCTCACCGGTAAGCTTGCGGTTTTCTTTTGAGTTTCCATAAGAAAATTCAAGAGATCGCAGGAATGAGGAGAGGGCTCAGCCAGTAAGTGTTGCCACTTAAGCATCAGGACCTGGGTTTGATCTCCCAGCGCCCAAAGAAAATGCTGGGCGTGGTGGCATGTGCTCGTCATCCTAGCCCTGGGACATTGGAGAGTCCTTAGGCCTCACGAACCAGCTAGTCTAGCCAACTGGTGAGCTACAGCTTCAGTGTGAGAACGCTGTCTTGAAAAACAAGATGGCTCCTGAAGACCAACACCCAAGGTTGTCCTCTGACCTCCACATGTAGGTATGCCCTGTCTCACACACATGAACATGTATGCACGCCCTTTCATGTATGCCTGAGTTTCTAAATATCATGGTACTGGAAGCTTTGAAATCATGAGCCTTTACCTGTGGCTGTTGGAAGTGATGTGATTGTCTGGCTGCAGTAGCAATGGGCCTCCTGCAGATACTTGCCTCCGTCTGGGTCAGGCTGAGACCCGTGACTCCCTCCAGCCACACCTGTCATCTAGTATCTCTTGCCTTTCTAACGATTATGTGCAGGTTACCCCAAAGCTTCACTCCATCCTTTGTGTTACAGATACCGATGGCAATGGCTACATCAGCTGCAGTGAGCTGAATGACCTGTTCAAGGCTGCCTGCCTGCCTCTGCCTGGGTACCGAGTGAGAGAGATCACAGAAAACCTGATGGCCACGGGTGATCTGGACCAAGACGGGAAGATCAGCTTCGATGAGTTCATCAAGGTGAGCGTAATACTGAATTCAAGGTTGACCCATTTGAAACTTGAACTCGGTGCCAGTAAATATCCAGAGAGATGATCTTTTCCTTCCTGCTTCATTGTTCTAGTCTTACCTTTGTGGTTTTCTTGACTGCAGCTTGGAATTCTAAAAATGCCTTAAACCTAGCTGGGTGTGTGCATTAGTTAGGGTTTTATTACTGTGAACGGATGCCAAGGCCATAGCAACTTTTATAAAGAAAAACATTTAATTGAGGCTGGCTTACAGTTTCAAAGGTTTAGTCCATCATCATCATGGCAGGGAGCATGGAAGCATAGAGGCAGACCTGGTGTGAGAGAAGAAGCTGAGAGTTCTACATCTTGATCCACAGGCAGAGGAGACTGTGCCGCACTAGGCGTAGCTTGGGCATTGGAGACCTCAAAGCCTGCCTCCAGGGTGACACACTTCCTCCAACAAGGCCACACCTACTCCAACATGGCCATGCCCCCTAATGGTGCCACTCCCTATGGGCCAAGCATTCAAACACATGAGTCTGTGGGGGCCGTTCCTGTTCAACCCACCACAGTGTGGTGTTCTGCCTCTGTAATCCCTGCACTTGGGAATCTAAGGCAAGAGGATTGTTTTGAGTTGGAGGCCAGCCTGGGCTACATAGTGAGCACCAGGTCAGTTTAAGCTGTATAATAAGATCAAAACCAAATGAACCAAATATATATTGTGGTTTTACAGGTCTTCCATGGCCTAAAAAGCACCGAGGTTGCCAAAACCTTTCGGAAAGCCATCAACAAGAAGGAAGGAATCTGTGCAATTGGCGGCACCTCTGAGCAGTCCAGCGTTGGCACCCAACATTCCTACTCAGGTGAGTGGTGCTGATGGGTGGGGAGCAGAGGTAGAGAGCCTGAGAGATGACGGAGTTGAGGATTGGAGGAAAATAAGATGAGGAGAAAGGGCCCAGGCTTTCTGGGGTTACAGAGTCGGTATTTGGTATGCAAACCAAAGGGATAAAAGCAAAGAAGCAAGCACACCTGCAGGCTTAGAAACCCATCTTCCCACTTGGGAGTGGATCAGTTCCAGGCACAAGACACAGGAGCTGCCTGAGCTCCAGGGAGCTTCCTGTCCTGAGTGATCTCATTTGCATTTCAAATATGCTTTAAAAGCTCCCAAAAACTTCTTTAAAAATCATATGGGCAAAATTAGCCCTTTGAGTCTTGGTCTTCAATATAATGATTATTCTTAACGCCTGCTGAGTGGCCAAAAAATATTGATTGGGTAAAGAAGTTTTCTATTTATTCTAAAGGCTGATGTGAAGCAGCCTTAATGGAAGCTTCTAAGATCCCAAATGGTGCAGTTACTTAGCATTTCCCAAATTTCAGTTTTCTAAAAGATGAGGCAATGTTAAAGATAAGTTTGTGGCTAGACATTGCTCACAGTTGATGAGACAAAGTTTTTAGCCTTTCTTATTTAAAATGTACTTTTATTTTTTGAGAATTTTAAATGATGAATTTTGGACATTTATGCCCCTCTCTCAACTCCCCCATAACCATATTCTCCACTCTCCCATCCCTTCCTACTCTATTTTGAGATTTTTCTTTTTCTTTTTTCTTTTTTTCCTTTCCCCCCTGAGTCTAATTTCTGTTACTTAGTTAGTATTGGAAGTGGGCCCTGCCCTGGTGTATGGTTGACCTACCAGGTGTCATATCATTCTAGAAAATGGACTCTCCCTCTCCTTGGGTAGTGGCCTTCCCCTTGCATACTGCGATTTTGTCTGGCTAGAGCTTGCTCAGACCTTGTGCATACTGTCATAATCACTGTGTTCATATGTGCAACTGCCCAGTTGCCTCTGGTAAACACTGTTTCCTGATATTAACAGCTACCCCTGGCTCTTAGAATCTTTCCAGCCTGGAGGGTAGGGCTGTGATAGGTATGTCCCCTTTAGGGTGAGCACTCTACAGCTTCATGTTCTCTGCAAGTTGATCAGCTGGGGATCTCTGTGTTAACTGCCATCTACTGAAAGCTTCTCCTACACGGATTGGGAGATGCTCTATCATGTCGTAGGAATCTGTTTCTAACTATGTTCATTTAGCAGAGTAATGATGTGTTCTCTGCTAGGGCCTGTGGCCTACACAGCCACAGGTTCTTGGGCCTTGTACAGGGCCAGGTATGGATTTTATTTCATGAAGTGGATCTTAGATTCAGTTGCACTAGTAAGTCTATCTTATCAAACCAGTTATTGTTGTAGTTTTCATGGCTCTGAAAGTACCCAATAATTTCTAGCCTTGTTCTTTGTTTTCTAATCTAAGAATTTTCAAGCCTTTATTATATCAAAGTTATGAATCTACAGGACAGTGATTCACTATGCAGTCTTTACCTGGCTTCAACAATCAGAATTCCTCCAAGAGACACTTGTTTTCAGTGACACGCAATTTCCAAAGCATGGTATTAGGGAGAAAGCAGAGCCTTGGGTTTTACCAAGACTTTAAAGAATCTCTGATTTCTAAAACTAGTAAATACAAGATGATGAGATAGTGGCCTGGTTAACCTTGTAGTATCTCTCTCGAGCATGAGAATGTGAGGTCCATATGGATAATGTCTTTGTCTGGTTTTCATGTTGCATGTCAGTCACTTCAATTCTGTATTTGTAGAGGAAGAAAAGTACGCCTTCGTCAACTGGATAAACAAAGCCCTGGAGAATGACCCTGACTGCCGGCATGTCATCCCCATGAACCCAAACACCGATGATCTCTTCAACGCTGTAGGGGATGGCATAGTTCTTTGGTAAGTGAAAGTTCCTTCTGGATTTTCAAAGAATCTTCCCTTGCCCTGCTTTTTATGAAATATCAGCAGCTGAGTGGGTTTACTGTCGGCCTCTTGATGCTTACATGGGTGTGGGGTACCTTTATGAACTCCCCTTGAGAGGGTCCAGGGGAGAAAAGTAACCTCAGAAGCTAACTGTAGTAAAATCCATAAAACTGCTGCTGTTTGAATGGAGAGAAGAGATGCAGAGTACAAAGATGAGCTTTTCCGTAAACTGAGACACGGCGGTGCGGGCCGTAGCAGTTACTTTTGGGGTCATCTGAACATGACCTACCCTGATGGCGGAGAGACTAGAGAAAGGAGACAGGGTAGTGGAAGTTTGTTTTAAATATACATGAATGAGCGCATCTAGACATATAAGCAGGTCCACAGACAACAGAGTTATGAAAATATATGTTTAAAAGTAACTATAAACTATATGTTTAATAAACTATATAAAGTTAGTTTATTAAAATTGATTTCTCACTAAAAGGAAACAGTCACCTTTTCCAATTTTTTTTTTAAATTTGCTTTTTGGGGGACCAAGAGATTGGCCAGTGGGTCAAGGCACCTTCCACCAAGCCTGATGCCCTAAGTTCAACCCCGAGGAAGAGGGAACTGTGACTCTTGCAAGTTGTCCTCTGATCTCCACACACAGTCACAAATGCCCACTCACACACATAAATAAGTAAAAGTGTTCAAAATTTTTTGGGTTTGTTCCATCTGGATGTTTTTGCCCTAGGGCATAAAACTCAGGGCTTCCTCCATCTTGGGCAAGGCCCGCCCCACTGAGCCACATTTCCAGCCTCCCTTTTGCTCTTTTACAATATCGAGACAGGGCTGTAGTAAGGTGGCTAGACTGGCCTTGAGCCCATTCTGTAGCCCAGACAGGCCTTGGACTTGTGATCCTCCTGCCTCAGCCTCCTGAGAAGCTGAGATTATGGGCCTGCACTACCAAGTCTGGCTTCCTTTTGGAGATCTGTCTTCCATTTTTTTCTTTAAATTAAATGGAAGTTACTGAGAGATTTTGTTTTATTCCCTATTGAAAATTAAACAAAGAATAACTTGGACAAAATCAGTTTTTCATGAACAACAATTGCTTTCTTTAGATGTCTGATCACTGTATTGGATACTTACATGAGGAAAACTTATTGCACATTGATCAAATGGCTATGGAATGATAGGAGAAGCCATTATATGTTTAGTTAAAGGTATTGATCAGATGTCAAATGGAAATGTAGACATTGTATAAACCCAGAAATATATCAACAGTCTCTTGCGTAGTGGGGACAATTTACAAGGCTAAGAAGGTCACGAGGGATTTGCTTTAATTACCCGCCGAGAATTCAATAATGTTCTAAGGCAGTAGTTTTCCTCCGGTGGGTCGTGACTCTTTGGGGTCACATATCAGATATCCTGGGTCTCAAGACATTTACATTGTGATTCATAACAGTAGCAAAATTACAGCTATGAAGTAGCAAGGAAATAATTATATGGTTGGGGGTCACCACGACATGAGGAATTGTATTAAAGGGTCTCAGCATTAGGAAGGCTGAGAGCCACTCTTCCAAGGGAAACGGGGCACGTTTATAGCCTAGGTGAGTGAATGGAGCAGGACCATCACTTCTTACCTCCGTGAGTTGAGGTAGCTTCGTGAGCATTGCCGGTTCCCACAGAGACTCGGAACCTACCCACAGTGGCACAGATTGTTTACAATGCGTGTAAAGAACGGGTTGCTGACATGCTCACTTCAGGTCCTGCTGGAACTTAAATCTAATAGTATGGGACTCTGTCGCCCAGAAGGCAGCTTCCTTTAATTTTGCTGTTTCTCTTTCAGTAAAATGGTCAACCTGTCAGTGCCAGACACAATTGATGAGAGAACAATCAATAAAAAGAAGCTCACACCTTTCACCATTCAGGTTTGTCTCCCCACTGCTCCCCAAGTGTGGCCTCTGGCTGGTGAGAGTGCGTGCCATTACTGCTGAGTCAGCGTGCCATTACTGCTGAGTCAGCATTCTGCAAGCCCTCAGCCTTCCTTCCCCCAAACCTAGGCCTTGGCTAATGGTGTCTTACACCCAGTGGATAGAAGGATACATTTTGTCTCTTGTTTTACTGCTGTATCAGTCAAGAAAGGAGGTTGGTATGTGGAGCTGGGTTTGTTTAAGCCAAATAAGAATAAAATTCCTATTGGCTGAAATTGCAACATAAGTTTTTCTTGCCAATTTATCTTTGAATTGGTGCCAGATACATCGCATTAGCTGAAGAGAGAAGCCTTTCTAAGCAAGGAAAGGATGAAAAATGGGAAATGCTCTGGAGGCCTCCACAGCCCTTCTGACACAGCCGAGATTGGGATACATACAACCTGCTTCTATCCCTCCATTTGCTGATTAACCGAAACGGTCACTAGCAGGAAATCCACTGTGTTTCTAGCTTATGTCCCGGTATTTTAACATTATTGTAATTCTCTAGCTCAGAAACCACGTCTAATACCTCAAATCATGAATAATCCATTGTTTCCTGTTTGGGCTTAAGCAACTCTATGTCCTTTTAAAATGGAAACGTTACCAAATTGGGAACAATAATTGAACAAATGGAAGTGTACTTACTGTTAGATTTCCTCCGAATCTTGGCTATAATAGAAGCAGTATTTTTAAAAATTTTTTTATTTGGAGTGGTTGGGAAGGACTTTCTGGTAGAGTTTGTTTAGTTCTTAATTTATCATACAAACAAACAAACAAGAAAAAGCTTACGTACTTCTCCGACCCTGACCTCTTCCTTGAAGAGGACATGGAGATTGCGCACTCCAGCTCTTCCAAGCGCCCCAGGACCTGCACACCTGTGTGCATCTGCACGGGTTTTAATTCGCCTGGAGACTCAGTAGCTCCGTCTGTTAAAAACCCATTCATCTTCTCGGGGAATTTGATTTATATCGTTTTCTTTCCACTTCATTACATCTGCAAATCAAAAAGGCCATTCTGTTGTTCTTTTTTTTTTTTTTTTTTTTTAATGACCCTAATTTACATCAACAATTGGCCTTCTCAGCCATAGGCTGTGACAGGGCAATGACTTCCTCCAGCTAACAGAGGCTTTAGGTGTACAGGCTTCCTCAGAGGGCAAAACAGAGAACACAGGACTCATTAATCTCATGCCAGGGTCTTCCAGACTGGGTGCTGGTTTGACTGAGTAGGCCGCTGCAGAAGCTCAGTGTGTGGGTTATTAGGTCTTTCTTCCTTATTATTTTACTGCTTTTCCTTGGTGTTAAAAGTAGCGAAGACCTTGTCTCTGGGTCTGTGAACATGCCAGAAGGACAACAGCCCAGCTGTTGCTCATCATTTGGCCTCAGCCAAGTGAAGGCACCAACCTTGCATACTTTTTTTTTTTTTCTCCTCCAGGAAAACTTGAACTTGGCTCTGAACTCTGCCTCGGCCATTGGGTGCCACGTGGTTAACATAGGGGCTGAGGACCTGAAGGAGGGGAAGCCTTATCTGGTGCTGGGACTCCTGTGGCAAGTCATCAAGATCGGGTTGTTTGCTGACATCGAGCTCAGCAGAAATGAAGGTAAGATAAAGCGTCAGGTGCTGTGAGTAGCGTGGCTTTCTAACCTTGCCTGTGTCCGTGGCTGGCGGAAGACATTAGGCGTTCTCCAGCTGAGAACACCACTCGGTTAAAGTAGCAGACCTTCTCCATGCAAACCAGACTTTTAAAATGATAGTGCAAAGGCTTTTAGAGGCCACACGCCAGCAATAGTGCTTTAGAATATATAGCTCAAGCTGCCTGGAACCCTGACCCACAGCTCGCATTGGCTACAGAGGCTTCACAGCAAACCACATGCATGCCTGGTACCTCTGGAGACCAGAAGGTGTTTGATTCCCTGGGACTGGAGTTATAGACGTTGTGAGTCATCATGTGGGTGCTAGGAATTGAGCATGGATCCTTTGGAAGAGCAGCCATGTTCATCACTGCTGAGCCATCTCTTCAGCCCCAGATATCTGTATTTTTAAAATCTGTGTGTTCAAATTATAACCAACAGTGAAAATGTTGAGATACCGCTTTAAAACCAAAATACTAAGCATCGTATTTAAAAAGCAAAAATAAAATAAAAAAAAATAGCAAATGGGAATCTTGAAACCCAAGAGAAAGAATATTGATTTCCAAAATCGAATCAACTATATGTAAACTCAACCAAGCAAAAAATATTTATTCATCTGGGGAAACACAGAGGAAAGCTGATTGCATTGTTCAGTTGCTATAATTATACAGGTAAGCATTTGGACTATAAAACGCCAATGGGAATAGAAAAGAGAACATTGTCATGATCGCCAAATCGATCTCTTAAAAGCAGAAGTGTCACTGTGGTATGAAGTGTGGTCCGATAGACCCAACAGAGTACTTCCAGGAAGTCACCATGGTAACCTTTATGCTGTAACTAGTGTTCATAGGCAAAAGGCTTGAGATTCCTTGATGCTTTGTCCTTTCTAATTAAAAAATAGGGACTAATAAGTTAGCTCACAATAATGTACCTACCACCTTTAGGAAGTGTTAGTGAGTTGTTCATTTCACGGGAAGGGCTTTAAGACATTACATTTAGAGGGACCATGCCTCTCTTTGCTCTCCTACCAGAGCCCCATGTCAGGGATAACGGCTGCCCCCAAACATCCGTGTATTTATGTTGGGTCATTTTTGTTGTGCCTCTCCAGCTCTGATTGCTCTTTTGAGAGAAGGAGAGAGCCTAGAGGACCTGATGAAGTTGTCCCCCGAAGAACTCCTGCTGCGGTGGGCTAACTACCACCTGGAAAATGCAGGCTGCAACAAAATCAGCAATTTCAGCACCGACATCAAGGTAGGAGAACGCCCCTGAACACACCGCAACGCAGGGGATTTGTGGAGCCAACGGGGAAAGGACAGATGCTGGGCCCCGTGTCTCAGCAGCTTAGGCTTCTTGTGGTTCCAAAAGGAACCACTCACCACCCCCAAGGCTTAATGTGAAGCTCTAGTTCTGGGACACACACACACACACACACACACACACACACACACACACACACGCTGCCCAAGAGCCCTAGTGAAGCTTCAAGGGGAGAGGAGTCTTGCTTTGAGTTTCAGCATTAGGAAGTAGGTCATCAAGAGAGCATCATGCCGCAAGGGAAATGCTCCTTTTAAGCCAAAGCGAGTACCTGTAGGGGCTGGCGGAGTGGCTCTCAGCGGTTAACAGCTCGCTGTGTAGTCATGAGGAGCAGAGTTTAGATACCAGCATTCCCATATCAGCAAGCCTGGTATCCCATAAACCTTCGCAAGTCCAGCTCTTTGCAAGAGATCCATGCCCTCTTTTGGCCTCTGTGTATGAATGGGCAATGTGCATACATGCAGATATAATGCACACACTCGTGCAAATTAATCTTCAATTTTTTTTTTTTTTTTTTTTGCAAATAAATCTTAAGACAGGAAAGTGTCTGTAAGACTTTAATGTCTCTGGTTTTATAAATGGTGCCGCCTTAGAGGGCTTCCTTTTCAAATGTTAAATAAAGATGTCTTTCTGATCACTAATAATAGTAAGCACAGCGTTTGCTGCATGCCAGACATTGGCCTAGATACTTTTATAAGCGCGTGATTGGCTCACTGAATCCTCACCACAGGCTCTAAGGAAAGGATTTCACAAATAAGAAAAAAAAAAAAAAGAACTGAGAGGTCCATAGGAGATAGGCCAGGAAGCTCTTCGAGTTCATGCTGAGAGGAAGCAACCGCTGACAGACGGCCTAGGGTAAAAAGCACCTAAGGGGCGGCCCAGGAGCATTAGAGAGCAGATCCCATAGCACCAGGGTGAGCTGCGGAGGTAGGACGTTAGGAAAGACGTCAGTGTCCACCCACTCCGACGAGATGGAGTCTCTCTCCAAAGAGAAAGAGCGAGAGAAAGGGCCACATGCCCTGCCAAGAGCCCGCCAGGCATATAACAGAGTAACAAAGGCCTCTGCGTGGACTGATGTGGTGCTGTTCAGTACTCCGCATATGTCAGGCGCAGAGCCAATCAGAGTAAAGCATGCTGCTGAGAAGTCCCGCCCCTTTCTGGGGCGCTCAGCCAAGCAGGCTTGCACGGATTATCAGCGTTCTTCCAGCAGCACCAGCCAAAACCGGGCTCAGGAGTTTTGTCCTGACATTGTTGGAAAACTGTTAAAGACCTTAGCCATGAGCCTGATTTGCTCTCACTGAAAGGCTACATTCTTAAAGTCATTAACTATTACTTCAGACCTTGGGAAGGCCAGTGGGGCACTTAAACATTGCTTATGCCCTGTGTGTCTCTAGAGGGAGCTGCCACAGAACAGGCATCTGAGGCGTGTGTCCAGGTTACAGGCAGCGCAACCCCTGAATTTTCAGTATTTAAATTAAAAGCCTTTCTAAAACTGTCTCAGCAAGTGAAGTGAAATTCTATGTGCTTTCACTGACTGAGAATAAATCTGTATTTTTAAGCTCATGACTGTGAAAATTCTGTTTGTCAGTAAGCACTTTAAGGAATCCAGTAAAACTTCAGAATTCAGACCCAGCCCAATTCATTGTAACCCAGTCTGTCTGTTTTCTAGTTTCCAAAAAGATATGAAATAGACCTACCATGGTGATATTTCTCCTTTACCAAAAGGCTGCTTGTGGCCTCTAATCCCAACACCCGGGAGGCTGCAGGACGAGAACATTAAGTTCAAGGGCAGCCAGCCCAGGATGCATGATGAAACCCTGTCTCAAAAAAAAGGCATCGAGCTCGTTCACTGGACAGACACTTACAACTCCCAGGACCCACGTAGGAGAAAGGGAGAACAGGCCCTTGAACGGTGTTCTCTGACCTCCACTAGAATGTGTTCCTTCCATATATGCACATAAATATATTGTAATTTGCAAAAACTAAACTAGACTACTTGCTAATGTCTCAATAATCTGTCTTTGAAATCTTTTCTTTGGCTGATTGTCCATTTGAATATGGTTTTTTTCATTTGAATGTATTTTTAAACTCTGCTTTAAACTTCTGCTTCCTCTCTCTGTCACTCTTTTTTTTTTTAATTAACCCTTAGCTGGCTGACTTCTACAGCAGTGTAAAGGTATAGACATGTTTTCCTGTATACAATTTAATTCATGTATAAGTTGTTCACGTCCCTCCCAGAGGACAACGAAATCTTGGTGTTGCCTTTTATGTTGGTCCTGTATTGTTTTTTAATTGTTAGACTCTTTTGAAGAGAAAACAGATACAGTAGACAGCTGGAAGAAGTGAACCTTCCAGTTTGTGAATGTTTCTAGCTCAGTTAATTGCTACATTCCTGAATGACAAGAATAAGAAATACAGTGTTTGTTTTTAGGAAATGATTGTCATGTTAAGCATCGGTGCAATTAGCTCCACTGTTTTGAAATTGTAATTTTTTAACTGTTTCTCAGGACTCCAAAGCTTATTACCACCTGCTGGAGCAGGTGGCTCCAAAGGGAGATGAAGAAGGAATCCCAGCTGTTGTGATTGACATGTCAGGCCTGAGGGTAAGTCTGTGCCCGCTGTCTTCAGAGAACACCATGCCTTCTGGGTGTTCACTGTTCCTTGGTGTCCCCTTGGCCCCTGCTCTGCTTAAGTGCCTGGCAAACTATTGAACTCTGTCAGCAATTTTTGATAATAACTATGGAAAACTGAAGCTGGACGTAAAACACCAGGATAAGAAAGAATGGCAGTGAAATGTCATGTACCACTCAAAGCGCCTTATATGCCCATCATTTCAAAGGCTCAACAACACCAACCTGGGTCGAAATATTGAAACACAGCTCTTTTTTTTTTTTCTGTAACTTTTTTATTTTCAACTGACTCATAATGACCATTAATTTACGATATCTATGCTCTGTTAGTTAGTTCTCTATTGCTATAATAAAACACTGTGGCCAAAAGCAGGTTGGGGAGGAAAGGGTTCATTTGGTTTACACTTCCCAGTCAAGTCAGGGAAGCAGAAAGCTTGGAGGAATGCTGCTTACTGGCCTGCTCAGCTTGCTTTCCTGTGCTAGCCTTCAAAGCCACCTCCCTAGGAGTGGCACTTTCCCCAGTGGGATGGGCTTTCCCACATTGATCATTATCCAGAAAATGCTCTACAGACTTGCCTACTGGCCAATGTGATGGAGGCATTTTCTCAGTTGAGGTTCCTCTTCTCAACTTGTGTCAAGTTAACAGAAAACTGGCCAGGACATCTGCTTTGGGTGGTGATCAATCAAAAAAAAATTCTTCACAGGGTTTTTTTTTTTGTTTTGTTTTGTTTTTTTTCTGTTATTGTTGTTTGCTGTCATTAGCCTTTTGTTGTTGTTGTTGTTTTGTTTTCATTCGTGCGTGTTTCCCGGTGCTTGGGAGAGGACCCTGGGTTTCACAGTGGCGGAGGCAAGCTCTCATTCTTCAGTTTTGCCACCACTTATAACCCTGATCTTCACACATTGCCTTGTCTGTTAACATGCCTCGTTTATTGTCACTGGGATTAAATCCAGTGAGTTAATATCAAAGTGAAATCCTCTCTGAAGGAGAAATGAAGTAAAAGCAAACAAGAAGTGATGTTCATGAAATGAGCATGTTGCTATTTCTGCCGTGGCCTAAGGAATAATTCTAAAGTAAGGCTCTGCTTTGTGAAAGCTCGTGGACTTTACAAAGGCTGGATCATCCTCTAAGACATCTTAGTCCCCTTTTAAGAAGTCTGATTACAAATGACTGGGAATTGTCCTAACTCATTTGTGCTGCAGTCCACAATCTGAAATTTGCCCAAACCAAGTTTTATGCTGTATTTACCGTGGTAGTATGGAGATCGACACTTACTTTGGATTTTAACCAACCCAGTGTGGGAAAAGTGATTGTAAGAATCAGACATCCTTAATTTATGACTGTTAAATGCCTTTTACGAATTAGAAATAGGAATATAAATTATTACTTAGTAGCCTTTTTAACAGCAAATTCTCACAAAGTGTGCAAAAAAAAAACTGTAACAAGAGGAAGCTTAACAATTGAAATAATTTAATCAATGCAGATGGTAAGAAGTCGGATTTGCATGCATTTCTATTGAAAAGGGCAACCAGCTGCCCACCTGAACTTGTTAAACGGGGAGGGGATCTTGGCCTCGGATACGGAACCTGTGACTTTGAGACTTGGGTGCGTGTGGTGAATGTAGTCGTGAGAGGCAGTTAGGTGTCTACCAGTGTTAGGCATCCAGTGTTAGTGAGACCCATGCATACGGATCCTTGACACAGCCCCTTGACATCCTTTTCATTGCAGGAGAAGGATGACATCCAGAGGGCAGAGTGCATGCTGCAGCAGGCGGAGAGGCTGGGCTGTCGGCAGTTTGTCACGGCCACCGATGTTGTCCGGGGGAACCCCAAGTTGAACCTGGCTTTCATTGCCAACCTCTTTAACAAATACCCTGCCTTGCACAAACCAGAGAACCAGGACATTGACTGGGGGGCTCTCGAAGGTAACCATAATGTAGCTGCCTAAGATGTTCAGGGGGAAAAGAAAATGCTCACAGCTCTGGCTCAGTGGCAATTCGAAATCAGCCCCGAGGCAAACGCAAACCCATCAATTCTCCAATATACAACAAATAGAGGGAATTAATCAAGTCAATTATAGCCAAAGCAGCAATAATCAAATACAATTACATCACATCCGCTCTACATCCATTATCAGAATTAACTGTTTTAGGGAAGACAATCTATTTAATTATTGGATGAAATAAATTCTAAGCTCCAAAATCCTAATTTATGTACTTAATGGACCGTGTTAGTCACTAGAGGCAAGGAATGGCCACCGCTCAGCCTGTGAAGTGGTATCTAACTTATTCTAGGATGTGGTTGCTCAAGATTCATTTCTGTTCTATTTCTTTTTCTAATCATTAGAACGCGAGAATATCTTGAAGCAGAATCCTGACAGTTGCATTTTACACATTAAAGCCCTAATATGGACAAGTGGCATGCAGCTCCAATCAGCTCAGCTTCTCCCAGCTAGTGGTTCCAGAGATGTTCACTGGTCCTTTTAAAAACATGAGCTGATCTCTACAGTGATATAAAAGTAAAGTGGAAATTAATATTGGAAATGAACGTTATTAACTCAGAGAGGTGCAGGTTATTTTTTTTGCCCAAAGCCTTTTCACCAGTACTTTTCTCTAGTTACTGGCACAGCGTCCGTCCCTATCCAGCGCTGATGCTTTGGCTAACCCATGGTTTGTTGGTTTTGCGCCCTGATCTTCAATCTGTGCATCAAGCCAACTAGTCATCCATTCCTGGCTGTCACTTTAGCACCACAGTTCGGGTCTTTCCCGATATAGCACATATACAGCAGAATCGGACGATTCTCCTCCCTCCCCATTGCCTTCCCCACTTCCTGTATCATCTGCCTCCCTACAGTAATTCTCATTTCAATTCGTCATCCCATTTTGTTTTGTCCTGTTTTTATTTCGGTCTCCAAAACGAATAGTCTCGAGTTCTACTAAGATATCTTTCTGCCCTGCACTCTTACTCGATTATGTAAACAAATAACAATAATTCTTCATTTAAAATTTCCTCTAGATTGTTTATTTTCCTTTCTCCTCTTCTGGACCCATACTGTCTCATGCGCCAGTTAGATCTTAGGGACTTGTTCCTCCATTCATCAAGCGGTTAAATGTGTCCCACACTCCAGTCCCAAATACAACCCCTTCTGCATGTTTAATATAAACGCACATCACCCTTCAGTAATCCTGCACCCCGCAGCCAGGCACATCTGGCAAAGCTTTCGTTATGTCTCTGCCTTGCCCAAGAATTCATCACAGCAATCAAACAGAAGGATCTGCAGTGACTGGCACCGCCTAATATATCATCGTAAACCTACAACCATGCATGCAGAGACTCCCAGTCCCGGCTGCAACCTGCAGGCCGTCTCACCTCTGTGGCCACACTACACAGACCCCTGCCACACCGCTTCCCAGAGCTCTATCTGGAGAGCTCGCCTATTGCTTCCTCTGTGCGCATGTTTACACTCTTCTGTCTCATCGCCTTCCAAAATGCTCTACTCTCTCCTCACTCCTATTCAGCTTCTCCTGGCCCCAGAAAGGTAGCACCAGTTCCACATTTCCCAATCTGGGCTATGTTGTTCTTTCCCCCGTCTCATCTGAAACAGCATAGCTGCCTCCTCCCTCCCTACATCCAGCTGGCTCTATGAACCCTCCTTGGTGCCGCCACCTCTTGTTAGATGCTGTAGACATGTTTGTAGAAATTAAGTGGGAAGAAATTAGCAGATCTATTTCATAGCTTTCATCTGTGTTCCATACATCATAGATAAACCTAGATTATAAGCCCCGTTCTAGAGCATGTATTAACCAGTCTCCGCTGATCTAGGTGAGACAAGGGAAGAGCGGACGTTCAGGAACTGGATGAACTCGCTGGGGGTCAACCCTCGCGTCAATCACCTGTACAGGTAAGAAGAATCGGGAGCTCATCCTCCATATGTAACACAGAGACCCCAAAAGAGCGTAGGACCCCCCCCCCCACGCCGTACCACTGTGGTGTGTGCTTTCTTCCCAATGTGAACCACGATGGGACGCAGGAATGCCACGGTGGCCTGCTCTGCTGAGAAACCCACTTCCAGAGCTTCAGTTAGCACTGCATTTAATACCAAAATTACACCTTTGCAAAGTGACAACTTTCTACCCATCCTCTCAGGCGCCGGCAAGTCAGAGGGTGTTAAGTCTGCGGATAAGCGTCTCATGTGCTATTGCTAAAGCCGTGTTCCTTTTCCTGCCTTAAAGGCAGTTTATGTCCATGGAAGAGCCATAGTTAGTCACCCGGGAGAGTAAATCTATTTCTCTGAATCCCGATTTCTACATCTTGAAAGATGGAGCTAGTCCTAGCAGACTGCCGGGGTTAGTGGGAACGTTGCAGGAACTATGAGCCTCACTTACTGTGTCATCCTCCAAGCAGGATGCTGGATCTCTGAGAACTCTGTGTGCTTGCTTTTTTCAGTGACTTATCGGACGCCCTGGTCATCTTCCAGCTCTATGAAAAGATCAAAGTCCCTGTTGACTGGAACAGAGTCAACAAGCCTCCCTACCCCAAGCTCGGAGGCAACATGAAAAAGGTAAACAGTGAGTTTCCTGGTGGCTCCTGAACAGGTGGCGGGGTTAGCCTGCCAAAGCGCTTTGTGAACACTCCACCACGTGACCAGGCTTCCTCGAGTGTTTAGTGGGGATCGAATAATAGAGCAGCCGTGTGAGACCCTGTGAGTACTTCCATGACAGTGAACCCCGTCATCGCGGTTGATTGCTGATCTGTGATTCGTGTTGGGTGTCCCCACACATTATCGTGAAAATTTTCCAATTGATCTAACTAATTAGTGCAAGCAAAGCCACGGGGTCTCCCTCCGGCCCCCTGCAAGATCGCCGTTCTAATTTTCTAAAGAACTGGAGCCTTGTGCTCACAGCTTGGCTGGTACGGTTTGGCTGCTGTCAACACAGGGGGAACATTGTTTTGTGACAATAAGGTTGACACAGCCACTTCCTACCACTCCTCAGCTCTGTGATTCTTCTTATATTTATTTATTTCATGTGTGCGTGTGCAGGTTCCAAGAATGGAACTCGGGTTGTCAGGCTCAGTGACAAGTTCCTTTATCCACTGAGCCATCTTGCTTGCCTTCTGTGGTCCCTTAGTGATCCCTGAGTGGCCATGGGGCTATCTGCCCTGCGTGTCTATCCACTGTGTACATCTTCCGGTCCATCTGTGTGCAAAAATTATTTTAGAAGTATCACAGACGTAAGTGACGGTGGCTCGCTACGCGGTGTGAATGCTCCCGGGAGTCCTCCTGAGAATACGTTTCTTCTGATGTGGATCATAGCACTTTCTCTTTGTAACGCACACAACCATACTAGCACACAACCAGTCGATAGCTGAGATCATGCGGGCCTGATGTTTTATTTTGTATCTTTATCTTTATCATCTTTTCCTGATATTTATCATAACCGAGATGATGCCATAAAAGTCGTTTCCTTTCTGCCTCACTGACAGCTTGAGAACTGTAATTATGCAGTGGATCTGGGGAAGAATCAAGCTAAGTTCTCCCTAGTTGGCATCGCAGGACAAGATCTCAATGAAGGAAACCACACTCTCACGTTGGCACTGGTTTGGCAGCTCATGAGAAGGTAATGTGATCCATGGGATGAATGAGATTTTAGTGAATGGATCATTTATCTGGAAACAGAATAGGAAATTTTTAGCAAAGTGATTTAATGTAGTAATACCATAACTTAAGTTAAATTTAGTAAATAAGAAAGTGCTTTTTGTTTTTCATTACTTTTTTCTTTTAATTTTTAATTCTTATGAAAACCTATTGTGGGCTCATTAGTGTTTTATATTATTAGTTTGTCTGAATGAATCCTACTTTTATCTTTTTACGGAGTGTCCTTCTGTGTGCCTGGTCGTGTTCTTGGTTCTGCACAGTTTTTCCCTGGCATGAACATAGTCACCCCTACTTCCTCTTTTGACTGGCTTATCTTTTCTCATCCTCTAACTTTCAGCTACTTTGTATCAATACAGTGAATTACATTCATATAGGTTTACATCTCCACCTTAGATCCTTTTCCTATATCTAGAATCTTTCTAAAAGTGCAGGTTTGTGATAATGAATAGTTTCTGTTTCTATAAGCCAGAAAGACCTTAATTTCTTTTTTGTTGTTGTTGTTGTTCCTGAAATATGTTTTCTCTGAATGTAGGGTCCTACGTTCATGTGTTTTTCTTTAAGTGCTTTGAAAATACTGTTCACTGTCTTCTTGCCTGTGTTGTTAAAAGCAGAAAACCAGTGTCACCCTTGTCTTTGTTCCTGTGTGTGAAATATGCTTATTTTGAGTATGTGTGTTGTGCAAAGTTATTTCTTGAGCATTTGGATATAGTTGTGATGGCTTCTTTTCTTGACTGTTTCTACTCATTCACTCTTATCTTCAATGCAAGCCCTATGCTCTTACTTCTTTGCATGGTGCCTATTCTTCTGATCATGTGCCAAACATTATAAGGCTTCCCTTGCTTGCTACAGGATATTTTTATATTCCTTTAACAATATGTTGGTTTTTGTTCTGAGATGGGGTTAGGTTCAGCCCAGTTTCACTCATTTGAGGCTTGGTTTAAACTTACTCTTCCAGAACTCATTTCCTGCTCATTAATAAGAAACTAAATGAGCATGTTAACTGGTGACCCGTGTGTTATTAATTCTTTCCTTTCAGCTGGTGGGAACCAAATAATTTCAAGCTTCATGTGCTCTCCATGTGTTCATGCTGTTCTTTTCCCAGACACAAATGAGTGCCTTGGGCAAAACTCAGTTGAAATTTGAAGGAACCCTCTGAAGATCCCTGGGGCTTTCCTTCTTGGTTATGCTTTCCTTTTTATGCCAATACTCTCCTATCTAAAATGCTGTACTGCAAATTCTAGGCTCCTTAAATCTTCTTCGGTTTTCTCTTCGCATGCAGCTTGGAGACCTCTCTGGGATGTGCATCTCGGGACTTCTTCAGCTCCCCTGTTTTCCTTCCAGAGGCTACTATCCCATCCTTCCTTCTGTTCAAGTCTAAATCACACTGTGTGTTAGGTGTTGATGTCTGTTCCCTTTTATGTCATAATATTCTATTAATAAAGAACTTTAAAGCTTATCTCTATAAAAGTTCTTTAGTAGAGAACTTTAGATATGTTTGGGAGCCAGATGTAAACTTGATTAATTAATAACTACCTGGTGACATTCATAAGAGAATAAAAATCGGAAACAGATTAAATGAAAACAAACTCGTTTCTCTTTAAATATTGCATTCAGGTAGAATCTTCTATCCTTCCATCAGTGTGACATAACTTACATTGTACCTTCAGGGAAGCTCTAGAAATCACATGTCAGGTTATATTCTGTCTAACAAGGTCATGACAAGGACACTGATTTCGTCCCTCAGCCCCCAGCTTCAGCCTCACATCTGCAGATCCCAGTTTTCATGATTGGTTCTTGATGTAATTGTGCCAGTGTTTCCACTAGCTGGAAGATAGTCAGCAGTGATCTTGGTGTATTTCAGTCCCCGACTCAACACCGCCTTTACCCATTCCCCAAATCGGGGCTCTCCTAACTGATGAGATATGCATTTCATGATGTGTGGGAAAGCGCAATAGCTGAAGAAATTTGAACCCTGTCTGTCTTACTGTACGTCACATGCAGTCATTTTCCATTGCTGTGATAAAAAATAGCCAGGCAAAAGCGACTCAAAGGGAAAGGGGTTTATTTTGGCTTAGAGTCCAAAGAGGGATATAGATCCTCATGGCAGAGAAGACAGGCATGGAAGTCATGTTGTTAGTTCTAGGAAGTTGGCTGATCATATTGTGTCCCATTCAGGAAGCAGAGCTGAACAGGAACTGAGGCTGGGCTCTATAGCCTCAAGCCCCCCCCCCCCAGGGACTCACTTCCTCCACCACCTAAAAATTCCACAGTCTTCCCAGACAGCATCACCAGCTGAGACCAATTGGTGTTCAACTGCATGAGCCCACGGGGGAACTTGTGACATTCAAATCACAGTCGGTATGTCTCACCTTTGACATTGTGACACAGTGTTAGTGTCACCCTTAAAGTTTACGCTCAAGAGCCACCATGCAGTTGAGTCACCAACAAATTTCAAAAACATCTTTAATGTTTTAGGTGGGTTTATGGCTCTTGTGTTGGGCCACATTCCTGGCTATCCTCAGTCACATGGGGTCCACAGGCCATGGGTTGGACACACTTGACTGAAAGTTCCTAAGTACCAGTCTCCCCAATATATAGGTCCATGAACTATTTCTAAACAAGCTTCATTGCTTTCACATATGTTTTGAATTCTAAACAGAAAGGCTTTGGTTATCCATGGCTTTAAAGCAACAGTTATTTTCATTGTTGTAAATACATTTTCTCATGGATTACGATATAGGATAGTATTTATATGTTCTAATTTAATGATAAGAAAACCTAAGCAAGCCTATTCAGAAGTGGACAGTGGTGCAAATCAGAAAAAAAAACAAAAAAAACAAAAAAAAAACTATTCCATTGAGAGTGAGAGCAGGCCACATGGGTGAGGGGGCTCAAGGGGACTGGTTAGTATTGGGGCTTCCTTTTGAGAGCACAGGAGTTTGGCTAGTAGGAGCATAGTTTGAGTACTCTTCTTTTGATAGGCTTGAGTTATATAAGTGTTTGTTTTGTTTGTTTTTTACCTCACATGCCCCTTCCCAAATGCATCTTATTTTAATTGTATACATTCCCAATTATGCAAAGGCATAAGAGGACAGACAGGAGATTCTTCCTAGAAGTTCATTTGAGGACACAGTTTGTCTTGTTGTACCTATACCTGGATCCTGTCTAGGCCAGATTGTGTTACTCAGACGTAATGGAGTGTGACTGAAAAGGGTTTATCTGTGTTTACCCATCAAGGAAAGGAAAAGCTTATTCCATCATTCAGAGATGGGTATGCCCTCTGCTCAATACAGATGGGGTCCTGTGTTGCCAGCAGATAACTAGCCACGTTGTTTGGGGGAAGAGTGTGTGTGTGTGTGTGTGTGTGTGTGTGTGTGTGTGTGTGTAATGCACACAGGTAAGGCTCTCAGACCGTCAAGTCCATTATTAGGAGAGGGTTTGTTCATAGCCCAGAGTAAGTGGTGGTTTTTTAGACTATTCTCTATGCTGGCCTTTCTCAGAAGTTTCACCCACACATGGCCCCAAGCCTTTCAATAGGGCTGACTTGTATTTGGTAAGTCCTGTCTGCTGCTGCAGCTGTATGCAGAAGATTTCTGCATACAGAGGAGTGGACAGAGCAATACATTATTATTGAAGGAGGAAAAATGACTGGTGATTATGTAAATGGTACCAGAAGGGGTTTGTTTTTGTTTTGTTTTCCTTTCTTTTTTTTCTTCCTCTTCCTGACACATAGTAACAGATCTATTCGATTTGCATCCAGTTCTAGGTACAATTTATTTCACTTGGATCGCACAGATATGCTAATTTGGTCATTTATCAGGACAATAAATGGTTTGTCATTTTGCCTAAGCCTGCCTTTCCCCCTTCAGAAGCATGGAAATCATTCTAAGCTTGGACAGCTGGCAAACAATGTATAAATTAGGAGACAAAGGCTTAAAACAAGTAAACTTCCAGCAGATGGCAATGCCAGAGTGAAACAAGAGAACAGACATCAAGGCAGGCAAGTGAGAGCACTCCCTCCAGCCACACAGGCTGTGGACGGTGACTTCGGACTAGGTCCTCTACAAACAAAACACCAAGCTTCATCCCTCTTATCAAATGTTAAATACGTAAAATGAGTGTTGACTGTGGGAAGGCAGGAGAGCAAGCAACGGCTATCCCATCTTCCCTGGGCTCTCATAGTCACCCCACATCAGTCCTCTTTTGTTGAGAGAGGAACTGGTTGGACTTGGGGCTCACAATGCTGTTTCATCTGGACCAAAGGCTCTTCAGCCCAGTGTGTTTTACAATTGCTGGCAATATTGCGATCTTGTCAGTAGCATTCTAGCTAATAACACAGTCGCGTGTGATAATAATTAAAAAAAAAAAAGTGTGTGAGTGTGTGTGTGTATGTGTGTGTGTGAGTCTTTGTGTTTGTGTGGAGGCCAGAGGAGGGTGTTCTGGAAGTAAAAGTGGTTGTAAACCACCTCATGTGGGTGCTGGGGACTAAAACCCAGACCCTCTGTGGAAGTTGGATGTGCTCTTACCCACAGAGCTGTCTCTCTGAGCCTTTGTTTCATGTTTTGAATCTGTATCTTAATGAGCCGTTGCTTTTCCTGCACTGACTGCTTGACATTACAGCCCAATTCTAATCTTTCTGCTCTTTGCCTTTCTCACTCTACTTAACCAATCTGTGTTAGAGGTGGCAGCAAGACTGTTCTGTACTCATCAGAACTCTATGCCACCCTGAAAGGTTGTTGTTAAGACCGCAATGCTAGGAACCACCTCAAAAGCACCCCCCCCCCCCAGCCCAGCAGGAGCTTCTCTGTTCTCTGGTGGGTTTTTGTTCTAACAGACAGATCTTTGGGTAGAGGTTGGTTCTCCTCTGTAGCACTTAATTCCCAGAGTCAAGAGAGTGGAAAAAAACTCAGCTTCTGTTTCCTTAGCTGGTCAGCAGAGCATGGCTGGATTTCTGACAAGGGGAAGAACACATCTGGAATGAAGGAAGCAGATAGAAGGTTGTGTCAGTTTGCCTCATCAGGTTATACATAGGAAAGACTTAATGAGGTAATTACTGACAGGCCAGGCCTCGCTGAACCATTCACTGGGCAGAAATTCTTAAATGTTGTCTTAAATGCAAACAAATTAATGCATATAGCTGCTAGTAAAGGCAGGATCTTTTTCAAACTAAAAGTATCTCCAGTTCCAGGCCCCTCAACTCCTTCTGACTTTCACAGGTACCAGGTACATGCACATACATACATACATACAGTCAAATGTTCAAATAAATAAATCCATTTTTTTTAATTCAAAGATATTTTTAAATGACAAAAGCTTCCAAGGCCGCTGCTCCCATTTTCAATGGCAGGAAGCTGTGTTAGCCCAGAGCAAGCCAGGTACCACTCTAATTCTGAGGTTTAAAGTGAAATCCCAGGGGACAGCTGTGTGAATATTGTGCTTTGTGTAGAATAGGTCACTAGAGTGAGTTGCAGGATGGATGATGTAAGCAGAATTCAAGGCACCTGAGTAGATGGTGCCCTCATTCAGGCAGGCCCTCTGAGGTGAAAGTCAATCTCCAGCTTCCTGGGTTCCAGTCTGAGAAGAGGTCATTGGTGGGTAATATGACCCACTCCTGCACACTTGAACCATGATGTCAGCAAGCCTGCCTGTGGCTCACCTGCTGGCTTCCTTCCAGTTGAGAAAGAAACAGGTTGTCAACTCCTTGCAGGAGAATTTCAAGGACCCTGTGGATGCTATACCAAATGTTTTCCCTGGGAAAACACCAATTCGAAAACCACCGTGGACTGAGGTTGTCTTTGTGACTGTATTCCTAACAACTTGCTGATATTTTCCCTTTATTCTGTTCACTGCTGCACCTTTCCTGAATGTTTTAAATTTAAGAATGTTAACTTTTAACAAAATGATGTTATTTATTACCTGTGTGGTGGTAGTGTGGGTGGTTGTGATGTGTTTGTGGGTGTTGGTACAGGTGTGCATGCCACAGCTCGAGTGTGTAGGACAAAAGACAGCTGTGTGAAGCTGCTTCTGTCCTCCCACCTCCCCATGGGTTCTGGAGCTCTGACTCTGGCCTGTGTGGCAATCACTTCTACCTGCTGAGCAGTCTCACTGGCCCTTGCTTTTTTGGGGGGGGAGGGGGATTACTTTTTTTTTAATTGTAATAATTATAGTTTATTCACTTTGCATCCCAGCTCTAGCCCACTCCCCCATCCTCTCCCAATCCCACCCTCCCTCCCTCTTCTTCTCCTATGCCCCTCCCCCAGTCCACTGATAGGGGCCCGTCTTCCTCCCCTTCCATCCGACCATAGTCTATCAGGTCTCATCAGGACTGACTTCTTTGTCTTCCTCTGTGGCCTGGTAAGGCTGCTCCCCGCTCAGGTGGAGGTGATCCAAGAGCCAGCCCATGAGTTAGGGACCATCTCTGACATTAACTCACGGCCCTTGCTTCTTAATGTGTCTAGTCCCTTTAAGAATAATGTTGAAGGCTAGATGCATCCTCTGCTCCATCTCTACCCTCCTGCCCTACCACCATCTCCACCCTCCTGCTTGCTCTTATTTCCCAGAACAAGGGCAGCAGGTACAAGAGAGCATTAGCTTTGTAGTTTACTATAAAAACCGTATGCTTAGTTGCCAAGTTAGCCTAGGGTAACTCCATTTGAACTCTTTTTTATATGTGTGTGTGTGTGGGGGGGGGTGTTTTTATGAAGCTTCTGCTATCATAGGTTTCCACAAGACCTTTTAGGACTTTTTTCAAAGGTCTTTATCTTTAATTATCCTTCCCCATATCCCCTCCTCTATTCTGACTTCCCATCACTCTTCCCTTTAAACCCCTCCTGCACCACCATTCTCCCTGTATAACCTTTTATAGCACTGTGTTCTATCCCTCTTCACCTGACAGTCGCCCCTGACAGCCCATGACTAATTCCCTGACCTCGGTGGGTGTTCCAAACAGAACGTGCGTACTTCCCCAGAACATTCAAGGCTAGCCTCCACAAATGAGAGAAAATGCGTTTGCCATTCTTGGTTTGCGTTACCTCACTCAGAATGAATTGTTGCCATTTACCTGGGAATTTCACAGTTCATTTTTCTTCACAGCCAGGTGACATCCCACTGCATAAATGTACCACGTTTTTTATTACCCGTTCATCTGTTGATGGACCTCCAGGCTGGTCTCATTTCCTAGCTGTTGTGAGCCGAGCAGCAGTGAACATAGGATGAGCAGAAGCGACTAGTGTTATTGAATACTCCTTTCCCTCTCCAATGTGATAAATAGGGCTCAGACTCTCTTTCATGGTCTGTCTAGAAAGAAGAGAACATCTTAGCTACTTTTCTGTAAAGAATAATAATAATAATCATCATCATCATTCTTGATTTCATTCAGGTACACACTGAATATCCTGGAAGAGATTGGTGGTGGACAGAAGGTCAATGATGACATTATTGTCAACTGGGTGAATGAAACGTTGAAGGAGGCGCAGAAAAGCTCGTCCATCTCTAGTTTCAAGGTAAAGTTTTCATCTTCTGCTTCTCCCTTTGTTTTCATTGCATGTTGAGGGGCCTTTGTTAAATGACTCACTTCTGTTCATGGCCATTCCACTAACAAATTTCCTTCAACAGTTACTTATAAACTGTTACTTTTAAACAGTTTTTAAGCAACTCATTTTAGACCCTATTCTTTTGAAGCAGTATAAAACACAGTAATAAATTTTTTTTTCTAATGTGCATGCTTCCCCAGGTTAGAGTTTTTTACATTATAGTGGTAAAGTGTAAAATACTAAAAGATATCTTATATGATATTTTTTTGGGGGGGGGAAATATGTATTTCATCCCAATCCTATTTTTATTAATAATACCGTTATATATTATGAGATTTATTAACTTGGCTGTCTGTTAGCAAGACTCTTTCTCAAGGACCTGGACACTTGATCCATATCACACTAATGTCCATGCATCGCAACTTCAGTGTTCTAACTTAAAGGCAGGATTTGTGGGGAAGGATCTCTCCTACCCGCAGGAAAGAGAAGAGAAATTAAAGTCTCTTCTCCACAGGAAGGGCAAAGGCAGCCTGGCAGGGCAGCACCACAAGCTCCATCTGCTGTGAGCTCATCCGGGATGTGGGACGGCCCCGCGCCACCTCAGGCCTTTTGCTCGCTCTGCCCGGGTGGCTGAGCACAGGTGAGAGTGGAGGCCAGTAAGTGACATGAGCAGATGTTTCCAGAAAGAGATTTGGAAAGGCAGCTGGGTCGAATGAATTCAAAGATGTCCCGGCTACTGTTCCGTTCTGAGTCCCGGGGGCGCTTCCCTCCGACTTTGTCTTTGCCGCTTTCCGTAGTTTGTAAGTAAGGAAACTGTACAGCTTAGGAGGCTTTCTGGGTCACAGTCCATAAATGCAGGCACTGTTCTCTAAGTGAAGGGAAAGTACCTTTATCTGGGGCAGGGTGGCCATGGGTCACCTCACCATGGACTGGCCAGTCACAGTTGCTTCTCCTTGGAGAGCAGCTGCTACACCAGAACACCAATTCCATGCTGGTGTCCTGGGAGCTCTTGTGGGGACAGAGTTTGATAAGCCATGCCGAGAGTCACTTTTAGGAGTGCTTGACAGTTCCCTCATTCCACAAGTCATTGTGGCTTAATTTTCTCTGGCTTCTCACTAAGTCATTACAGCACTAATTAAAAAGGGCCTCGTGGTGATACCAAAGGAAAGGTCAGATTAGCCGAGTCCCTTTTCAGTGAGACTCTAAAACTATAAATACAGCTCACTCTTGATTAACCACTTGGGAAATAAGCCCATTTCCTTGTCATCGGCTAGATGCCCACTCCCTTTCTTCCCTTGTCAGCTCCACACCAAGGGCAGAAGGCAGGGGGGAAGGCAGGGCCTTGGGGTATGATTCCATCATTGTTTTAAACTGCAGTAGTTCTTTTATCACAAAGAAAAACAGTAAAATAGACTCATTCTGATACTACAGATGACTGCTTTACCTGTATAGGAAAATGAAAGCAAGGGGACTGGTACGAGCCTTAGAATCCATTCTGATTCACACCTTCCAGGCATGCACTGCTTGAACTCAGCACGCTTAGGTGGTAACACAGGCACACTCCTTATCCCCAGGACCATGAATAGAGAAAGCACACGCATGGAGCTCTGTGCATCCAGGTCTGAGGGGAGTTCTACAATTGAGATGTGCACATCCAAACATTTACAAATGTCCAGACTGTTAAGTCCAAATCCCAGCTCTGCCAATTGCCAGCAACTCACTCAGCCCTAGAAATTCCCTCTTCTCTGTAAATGAAGGTTAACTGTGGAGGCTGAAGGCCTAGTTCAGTGCTACAGCACATGTTGAATTGTGTGAGGCTCTGAGTTCAGTTCCCAGCACTGGGCAGAGTAACAAAGATTAAACGTCAATATTAAACACCTACACCACAAAAATGACTACTCCATAAGGCTATGTACACCTCTTAGCTAAATATAGCCTCCTCCTAATGCCTATGTACTTCAAAGCATGATGAACACATACAATGCTGTGCTTCTATTACAAAATAGGCTTCAAGAGGTAAAACAAAAGAATAAATGCCTATTCCTGAGGCATGTGGTGACAAGAAAAGGCTGAGCAAAGTGTGTTAATTGTTGTCATTGTGTTTCATCACACTGTTGCTGTCTCCATGGAAACCCTGAGTTTTCCCCAAGTTCCTCAGAGAAAGAGGATCTACTGTCACCGGTCTACCCGTACCCTCACCTGTCTCCTGCCACGCACTCCACAAGGCTCCTCTTATGCAAAGCAAGGTTCTTCTGACCTCTTTAGTCGCTTCTTTTCTATGTCTAGTCTACACAGAAGAAGAAGGAGCTACCCCCTTCTCTCGAGGCAGACAGAAGTGACTCCAGGGTATGTTGATAAACCCTCTTTCTCTCTACTTAGGACCCAAAGATTAGTACCAGCCTCCCAGTCCTGGATCTCATTGATGCCATTCAACCAGGCTCCATAAACTATGACCTTCTAAAGACAGAAAACCTGGATGATGAAGAGAAACTCAACAATGCAAAGTACGTAAATAAACTCCAGGATGAGAGAGGGGGCCACAGGTGCTAGCCGGGTGGTTGTGGAATCTGATGTTTGTGCCTTGTACAAATTACTTCATCTGGGCTATTTCTGATCCTTCTTCTCATGATTTATTGCAGTCTCCTTATCTGTGTAGGCGGGTTACAGGAGCAGTTTAAGATTGTTTGTGTTAGGAGGGAACAAAACCTAGACTATCCTCCTGAATGATAAGCAAGGCTACACTTTTTTATAAAACTAGTTTCTTAATCCTAATCCATGGATTGCAACACTAAAGCTTGGTGTGTAAAGTCCACATATGAGCACTTCACTCATGAGTATCCACAGAGGCGAGTAGGCAGAACAGAGATCAGTGTTGGGAATGTCACCAGCTGAGTCACCATGTAACCTGTCCTGCCAACTGAGCCCCTGTAGGAGGGGAGCCTGCGGACTATAAATAAAACTTGATTGGATCACAATCCATTTATTTACGTAGATTCAGAAGCTGCAGCAAAACCTAAGGGAGCTACTGTCTGGGCTTCACTTGACCTTAGCTGAAAGGCCAAGACAGGATGCTGTCTGGACTCTTATAAAAAGTGTACGAACTGTTGCTCGACAGAGGTTCTTTTCTGAGATGCATTCATGTTAACTCCCCAGGGATGCCATGATAACGTACACACTAACTGGGTGGTTTAAAACAACAGAAATTCATTCTTTCATAATCAGTGAAACTAGAAATCAAGCTGCCATCAGGGCTGGTTGATACCAAGAGTTCTGAGGCATATTCTCCCAGGCCTCTCTCCTGGCGTTGACTTATAGAAGCATAACCCTCATCTCTGTCTCTACCCACTGTGTGTGTGTGACTTCACACGTCTGCCTTCCCCTCTGTGTCTTCTCCTTTATGAAGACACAGGCCATATTGGATCCGTTGCAGCATAACCTTGTCTTATGACATCTGCAGCCACTGTATTTCCAAATAAGGTCACAGTCGGAGATTATGGGGTTCATGACTTCCCCATATCTTGAAGAAGAGACACAACCAAGTCCCTTACAAATCTAGAATTCATGGTAATCCCTGCCTTAAAGTCCCAGCAGAGCCCTTTTCTCTGTGTTCAGCTTTGGAAAATAGGTCCTTGCTCCCCATATGATGATTCTCCATTCAGTGTGTTGGAGAGAGGATAGAGTTAAACTGTGGTTGCAAAAGTTTGATGGGATAGATAAAGGGAAGTGCAAGGATGGGGTGGCAGGAGCGGACTAGCTCTTTAGAGAAAGTGACTCCTGAGCTGCACCCATCCGCAAGGACAGGTAAGCCATCAGGAAGCAGATGGAAGAGACAGAAATTCTACATAAACAAACACCAAAAAAACAAAATGAAACAACCCAAAGGCTTGAAACGAGCCAGTCCTGGGCACTGAGTTCACCTTAAGGGACTTGGGAAAGTCACACAGTTTTTAAGCTGCACGGGGGAGACTCAGAATCTGACTTCAGAGGCCTGGTCCCTGTGCATTGCCATTCAAGGACAAGACACAGAATTCTTTCAAAATTGCTCAGGGCTGGAGACAGAGAGAAGAGCAAGCCCTGTTATCCAGGAGGCCCTGCATTCATTTCTAGCATTGAAAAACAAAACAAAAGCAAACAAACCTCTTTACAAAAAAAAAAAAAAAAAAGTTTGAAGAGTTTGAGAGTAAAGTATATGCCTTCAAACAGTGTGGTAGCCTGGGAAGTAATCCCTTTGCCAGGGAGGCAAAGCCAGGCAGATCCACGCAGGTCATTAGCTAGTCACTCTAGTCAAAATGGTGAGTTGCAGTGAGAAACACTGTCCAAAAAACTAAAATAATAAAAGAATATGAAGTAATGTGGACAGAGCCTGAGGAACCACATGTAAACTTGTCCTCTGTCTCCACACACACACTCATACACACATGCAAGCTCACACACACACACTCACACACACACACACACACACACACACACACACACACACACACACACTGTGAAATGAATGAAAACAAGTGTGGTGAGAAAAAGTTCACCAAGTACTAAGAATGGTTATGTTTTTTTGAGGCAATATTATGTCAGGGGCTTTGGTTTGGGCTCTGTTCTTGTTTGTTTGTTTGTTGTTTTGCACTCACAGATTTTTATGCAACTTTTCCTATGTGTTTTGTGGTGGAAACGTTCATTTTACTTCATTAGTAATTACTGTGGAGGAAGTTATTGAGAGATGGATGAGGAGGAAGAATGGACATTGCTCTTAAGTTAATTCGGTCACTAAAGTACGAATACGTTCTTTTGGAGAGCAGGAGGAAGTGGGGGGCTGTAGGGGGGAAGAATTTGTGGAGTAGTTGCAGCAAGGGGTTACAACAAATGAGGGAACAAAAGAACGTAACAGCTTGGATTCATTTGAAAACAGGTCTCAGCTAACAGAGATTATGTAACGTGTAGGACACTGAGGCTCCAGTGTGTCTGTGATGGGTTCATTGGAAAAACGCAGCACACAAAACTCTGACTGTTCTAATAGCAGCACACTGTGTAAATAAAAACCCCTGTACACGGAACAAGAAATTATACACCCGGGAATTATGCATGGCAAGATAGTATACAGGCAGTTTTCTTCTTCTGTTTCTGCAGTTGAAATGCAGTCCTTGGGAAGCTTGTCCCTAGCAGTTCTTGAACCTTCTCTGTACCCCCCAAAGACTATTCTTCCAATGGGTCTCAAAAGCAGCATCAAAGAGCCTGGAAAGATGGCTCGGTTGGCAAAGTGCCTGCCACTTAACCACAGGCGCTGGGTGCAGATGCCCAATGCCCATGCTTAAAGCCATATGTGGTCATGTATACCTATAATTCCAGGGCTGGAGTAGAGGCAGGAGATTCCCTGAGGCCTGCTGACCAGCCAGCCTACCCAAATCAGTGAGCTCACTGGGGTTCAGCGAGAGATTCTGTCTCAAAAAATAAGGTCAAGAGTGATTGAAGACGACACCCTGACCTCTACCCACATGAACACATATACATATGCATAGATAGAAGTTGGGAAGTTCTTCAAGGGCAAAATATGTTTCACCATTATCATGAGACGAGACAACAGGACTGATGCTACGGGGGGGGGGGGGGGCTTATTGAGCCAAGATTTGTCTGCACACGTGGGGAGATGGGTGACCAGCCCCGCCCTCACCAAGGATGCTCAGTCTATGCTCCTAAAGGGTCTTCCTCCCCCACTGCTGCTCAGGATCTGCCTTTGTTCTCCCTTTCAGGTATGCCATCTCTATGGCTCGAAAAATTGGAGCACGAGTGTATGCCCTTCCAGAAGACCTGGTTGAAGTGAACCCCAAAATGGTCATGACTGTGTTTGCCTGCCTTATGGGGAAAGGGATGAAGAGGGTGTAAGGCCCAGGGAAGTGAGCCAGAACATGACACAGTCAACCCTGGGAGTCGGCACAGGGTGCTCCCAGGATACAGAGGACCATTTCAAGCCATTCCAAAGGACTGAACGTTGGAGACACTCTATAAGATTCCAGAAAGCGCATATTTGTTTGGCCAAGTAGCTTCTACTATACTTAGCAGTACGTGCTTTTCCCTCCTGTTTTTATTTTTTATTTTTCTCCAGAAGATCGACTCTCCTACAATTTTTTTTTTATTATTATTCTTTGAAATTCTACCAGGAAAAAAAAAATTTTTTTTTAAAGAAGTTATTTCCAGATACCTGCTCTGCTTTCCTTGGTAGCCAAGGATAAAAACTACAGTGTTCTTAATGGTCTCCTTATCTCTTAAGCCTGTTTGCTCTTGCTGCTTTTTGCCTTGTTCAGAGTGAGGACCTGGAGGGGATCATCAAACTTGCCTTAAATAAAGCCTGTTGCTAGAGGCCCACAAGGGATGGTCACAGCCTCTCTTTGCATCTCCTTCTCTCAGCCTGTCTCCCTGTGAGTTTGCCCCATTCCCCTCAGAACCCTACTTTCTCTGTGGTTCCCTTTCTTGCAGTTCTTGTCTTCAGGCCACCGTAGCATCTGACAAATCAGTCAAGCTCTGGGCATCCCGGGAGTCTCTGGGAGCCTGCAAAACTGGGGATTCAAGGAAAGTGTAATGAAGAGTAAACCCACTAAGGGCAGATATGGAGGGTTTACGAAGCCTCTACCCTTCTGGGAGCATCTCCATGCATTTAGCCCTGTTTGTTTAGGTGTCTGGTCATTGTGGTGTCTAGTGACAGTCAGAAGCAATCCTGCTCAGCTTCATTTGCTTTTAGACATCAGGATACTTGGTTGCTGCCAGTATTACCAACACTCTGTTGGTACTACAAAAGCCTTTTGCCAACCGAAGTTCCTGGGGGTTGATATGTGCCAATAATATATGTCCCTTCATCACCCAAATGCTGGCACAGGCATATACACACATGTAGCTGGATGTCAAGGGTAGAATGTTGACGAGGAACTGCCTGGATTTCAAAAACAAACTAAAAGGGACAGTGTGAGTTTGAATAGTCCCACTAGATAAGCAATTTCCATGAAAACCTACCAAAAGCTTAAAAGCCACAGCATTGTGAAAGCTAAACTCCCTCTGCCTTACTGAAGGCTTATCCCAAAGGTATCTTCTTTAGAGATGGAAGGATGTAGTGGAACTTTGTCATCTTCCAAAGCAATGAAAACATGGGGTGTTGGCTTCATTCCTCCACAGTAGGATCAGGAAGCCAATAAATGACCCTTTCCAGCTCCCAGCCTGGGATTCCTGCTGCATCTGAATGCAAAGTGTCTGGCTGTGACTCTAGTCTGAACTTGATGTAGCTTCCAGATGCTGTTTCCCCATCTGCCTCCACAAAAGGAAGAATGTTATTGCCTTAATGGAAAATGGAGATAAATCATGTTAAAAATCTTTCCAAATAAAATGTTCCCAATACTGGCTGTTTCTGGATATGTTAAAGATTGCGTGCAGTCTGCAAGCACAGAATACTTGGTATCTGTAAGAAACCATAGAAAGGCTGAGGAAGGTATCCATACAAAAGACAGTCATTGTACTCAAGTAACTGGGAAAAACGGACACCACACAAAACTATGGGTGTGTGATAAGTGGCATAGTAAGGAAACTGTTTCAGCTGAAAAAATAAGGGATACATCGCCATTAGTTACATGAAGGGAGTTGAAACAAGAATTGTCCAAAACCCTTTGAACCCAATCGTGAGGATCAGGCTTGGAGATGAGGGAAATAACTTCTGGAGTGAATTGAGAAAATGCGCTTTGAGTCAATAACATCTGGGGCCTCCTCTCACCCTGGGCTGGCTCTCCCTCTGGCAGGGATGGGTATGCAGTGGTCAGCTCCTGCTAGGCTAGGCTGCTGAGACAACAGAAACTTGCCGTCAGTGTGGCACAAAGAAGCCACACCGCTATATAGTGACTGAGAAACAGCTTTGGCATATAAGATGCATTCCCAGCCCATGTAAAAATGGCTCTTTCCTAGGCTGGATGTATTTTCAGCCCCTGTATGAACACAGTATCTGTCTTCCACACACACGAAGAAGCTGCCAATGCTGTTGGTTGGGAAGAGACTGCAGCTATGTCTTACACGTGAGCACACAGGACAAAGATGGGATAGCCTGTCGGCTCCACCAAGAACGGAGCACCATCATGGATGAGAGACAAGGTACTCTGTAGCCTAAGGGACATAATTTAGCTTTTTTATGGTTCCAGTTCGTGTGGGCAAACCGAGTGAGGCATGAGGAATTGTACCTCACCCAAGGACCTGAAGTAGATAGAAGCCACTCCCTCTATCTAAACTGTAGGCGAGAGCAGGCACTCCATCCCTCTACCCCAGGCAGGAGGTGTGCTTTGGAGCTGTCTTGTATCAGGTCACCGGAGGCAGCTGAATTTTTGTCCAACCGTTATTAAAACAGTGTAGGCTTAGAATTGGCACAGCAGGTGTTTACAATACCGGAGTGGTCAAGTTCCACCCTTGTGGTCCCCAAAGTACTGTCCCATCAACCATCTACTGCCTTTGTCTTAATTCCTCTAATTTCTGCCCAGTTATCAACTGCTCTTACAACTTATTTTTTATTCCAGGGATATCTGTGCGCATGTCACACCTACACCTTAAAATGCTCTTACTCCTTACCTCACTCTTTTCCACTTAACACCCTATCTTGAAGATGGAGTCATATCTTTACATAGTGACCCAGCTCGGTCTTTTTTTGATAGGTCCTTCGCACTGTCTCTGTGTCCAAGCTGGATTTGATTCATAGTTTATGGATGTTTACATTGTCTTGGTCTTTTGCCCTAGCAAATAAGACCAAAGGAATTAATAGCATACCCAGTTTTTGAGCTTAGACTTCATTTTAATTGACCAATTCATCTGACCATCCAGTTCATTACATACTGAAGGAGCACGACAGAGATTCTTTTAAGTTTCCTCAAATTATATTACATAGAACCTGGGACAAACTGATGAGCCAATCCAGACTTCTCCATTTTATGCCTAAAGATGTTACTACAGTGAAGAGACGATGCACACACGTGCATGGATATACAGCTGAAGTGTAGACTTCAGTAAAGGTGTAGCAAAGCTATGAATGAAGTACTATGGGAACTCAAACCTCAATTCTGAATGAAGGAAACACAGACATTTGTGGGGGAGCTCAGGTCTGATGGATTGGAAGTAGGCAGGAACCTTGACTTACACATAAAACCACGCACATTCCTCAGTTTTTAGTGAAAGCGTGGAAGCGACTTTGAATGTGATTTCCACTAGCCACAAGCAATGCTTACGGACTGTGGGAAACGCTGAACAAACAAATTCGGTTACAAGGAAGGTTATGAAATGGGCCTACCTGGAAAGGTCTCAGCATGCTGTGGACTGCTGTCTGCCCGGAAATTAGGACCCTGGAGTCCACATGATGCAATGGTTGAGTCAGGTGACTTGCAAAGCCACAGCCACTTAGACATGCATGCGCCATGCACACATGCTCACCAAGGCTATCCCGGGGGCAACACATCAGCCTTGGGAGAAAAAGCTAGCAGTGTTCTCTTGTAGACCTGACATTGTTTTACCTAGTGAGGCTCTGCAGTCCCCAAATCCAAAAAGACTGGTGATCAGAGTGAGCAACACTGATAGGTCCTCTTATGAAATCAGTCACTCGAGAGTTTCCTAATGAGATTCTGGTAACGGAAATCACTGCCCTACCCTTCCCGGTGACAATGGCTCTTTTACTCAGCACTCTTTCTCCATCTTTCTGAAAGACAGCATTTGTGTTTTCTTATCCTTTCAGTCTATGTATATATTTTGTAATTTTCTGACTGATCTATTTACTGTGTTGGGGTATGTGTGTGTGTGTGTGTGTATGTGTGTGTGTGTGTGTGCGCGCACGCCATGATAAGCTTGTGGAGGTCAGAGGGCAACTTGTGATGCTTGATTCTTTCCTTCCACTGTGTAGACTGTAGCGACTGAACTCGGGTGGTCAGGCTTGGTAGCCAACACCCTTACCCCTGAGGCATCTTGTTGGCCCTTTATATCTATATATTTAAAAACTTAATGCAAATAGCACAGCCTATTGCCAAGACTAGAGAGTGCTCTTCACAAACTAAGTATTTGGAACACGAGGCCCTAAATGGTCAATTAAATGTTTCTCTTCGGGGCTCAGGGAACCCTACACAAGATGAGGCAGAAAGAATGTAAGAGCCACAGGGGATGAGGGACTCCTAGAAAACAAGACCCTCTAAATCAACAGGGTAAATGTACATATGAAGTCTCAGAGACTGGGGCAATACGCATGGGGCCTGCGCAGGTCGTTTGGGTATATATTATGGCTTCCAGGTTAGTGGGTTTTTTTTTTTTTCTCTAATGGGATTCTTGAGGCGGTAGGCGAATGATTAGGTCTTTGTGTCTGTATCAGTTTCTTCTGTCTTTTCTTGGGCTCTTTTCTGTTTATTTTGTCCCATTCTTATGTGTTAGTTTTTGTTTTATCTTATATTATATTTGGTTTTTTTTATTATCCCTTAAAGGTTTGTTTGTGTTCTAATGAGATACAGACAAGGAGTAGATTCAGGAAGGGATGATGGGAGGAATTGAAACTTAGAAAAAAAATTTCATGACAGACACAAAACACAGACAATCTAGTTAATGCACATTTATTAATGCACAGAGACAAAATGATGGTAATTTTTATATTGTCTGACATTTGAAGAATTCCATTTAAATAAGTAGCTTGGTTAATAGGGCGCTATCACACATTATTTTTGAAATAGAAAATTTTAAAAACCTACAGTGCAGGCAAATATCTCATTCTGAAGCTTCGTGGAATCTGACATAAAATCGAATGACTTCATAGACAGTTACAATAAAGGTGCACTGTTTGTTCTAAGTCCCAATCCTTTCTGTTCCAATTACGGTACCCAGACAAGGTACGCTTGGAAGCTGTTTAGACATTAGGGTCTCAGCTGTCCCCCGGCCCTACTGAATCATAATCTTCATTTTTCAAAAATCCCTACTTGATTCATGTTTTGGTTTGAACGTTTCTCTAAAAGATTCACAAATGTAACCCCCAAGGTCATATGTCAAAGCTATCTGGAGGTGGGGTCTTTGGGAGGTGTGGTGGTTTGAATAAAAATGGACCCCATGGGCACCTTGTGCATATGTACACACACACACACACACACACACTTTCCTTAAAAGACCAGTATAGTTGGGAGTAAAGGACTGCCCTATCTCAAGAAATAGGTGAACAATGGAAAAGCTTAGGAGGGATTTTCACACTCTAAAGCACACAGGAACCATCTGACTTTGCTGCTGCATAAATGCCCCCATATCCTACTTTGAGACCCAGTTTCTACAAGGCTGATGAGGGCGTGGCTGACTCAGAGCAGCTACCCAGCATCCCGGCTGCTCATTGGAATCACCATAAGAACTTTAGAAAAACTTTGTGCCTGTAACCATCGCTCCAACATTCAGATACAGTTGGTTTAACACGGATATTGAAAATGAAAAGATCCCCAAGTGCCTGGATATACAGGGACATCTTAGAATTACTGTTCTGTATCTGGAGTAGGTCTGGAGAATAGGCAATCAAAGTGAGTATGGATTCAAGAAAATGTCCCAGCAATGAGCCTTGCTCTCTCCGCTGCTTTAACCAGCCAGCCAATGAGCACGCTCCTACCTGGAAACCAGGCAGCTCTCTGGGTGCTAGAGATCTCAGGCTCCATTTTTCTTACCAAAGCAAGGATATCGGGACCTGGGATTGTGCTGTCTGCTTTCAGCTTTTTCAATGCCTTTTAAAGTGCATCCTCTTTTTTCCCCTTTAGAGATAGAGAAGGCCAGACACCCTAAGACTTGGTGTAAATTATAACACAGATTCAATGTCTATGAATAAACATGAGCGAAAATGTGTGAAGCGTAAAAAGATCTATCAATTATGTTCTTCAAAGCCTCCCAAGATTATGCGGCTTTAATGGCTGAGTAATTTTGAAAGCAAAGCTTGGAAAATTGAGCTGCACCTGAACTCATAATTTAAAAAAAAAAAAACAAACATTGAATTAATTGGCTCTCAATGCTTCTCTAACAATGAGTCTGAAGTGCTGTGTCTGAAGCAAGCTGGCCAAGGCCACCATGGCCCTTGCCCTTGTTCTCACTCTGAAGTTGGGAAAAACTCCAAGGCAGCAATCATTACAGGAGCTTCCACCTTAATAAAGGCAGAGGTTATGAGGCTTTGAGAAATCCTTGTTAGGTTCTTTTTGCCACCTAATATTCCAGATTTGCTGGAGAACTGGCCTTTGAATGAAATGGGTTCCAGAGTAGGGCCATGGTCCAGTTTGCTCAATCTATCAGGCTCTCTCTTTAGGTGGTAGTTTACCACCTAAAATAGCACAGAAAAAGGACCAGTTATTCTGAGACTGTGATAGGCCAGATGAGGTTCT